TTGAGCTGAAGCGAGGAGTCCTGTACCTCACTATCATCCTCTTGATCTTTCGCAATGGCTGCAAAATCTATGACCGAGGATGAATCAACTCTGTCGATACACAGACGGGAGAGAGCGTCTGCTGCTGTGTTCTCCCTTCCTGCTATGTGGTGTATCTCAGATGTGTATTGGGATATGAAATCAAGCTGGCGGATTTCACGAGGTGAGTGTCGGTCAGGCTTTGAATTCAAAGCATGGGTGAGAGGTTTGTGATCCGTGTAGATGGTAAATGTGCGACCTTCAAGTAGATGTCGAAAGTGCTTTACACCGAGGTAGGCTGCTAACAGTTCCCGACCGAAAGTGCTGTACTTAGTCTCGGCAGGCTGTAGTCTCTTAGAAAAGAAAGCCAATGGTTGCCAAACACCATCTACCAGCTGTTGGATAGTTCCCCCAACTCCCACATCAGATGCATCAACCAACAGGCATAGAGGAACATCAATTCTAGGATGAACTAAAACTGCAGCGTTAGCTAACTGATCTTTAGCCTGATTGAAAGCAGAAAGTTCTTGTTCACCTAGGGTGATTGGTTGGTTCTTCTTCAATCTATTTTTCAACAGATCCGTGAGAGGCTGGAGTACTTCTGCACACCGCGGAATGAACCGTCTGTAGAAATTGATCAGCCCGAGGAACTCTCGTAGTTTGGTAAGTGATGTAGGTATCGGAAAATCACGGATGATCTTCACCTTGTCACTAAGTGGCTGTATTCCTTCCGAGTCAACTTTATGCCCTAGAAAGGACAGTAAAGGTACTCCGAACTGACACTTAGCGGGGTTGAGAATGATTCCATACTCTTGCAGGCGGTCAAAGAGTAAACGGAGATGTGTCTCGTGTTCGTCTTTGGTAGTACTAGCTACAAGAATATCGTCTAGATAAACATAGACGAAAGGAAGACCGCGAGTGACATCATCCATCAATCTTTGGAACGTCTGAGCTGCATTGCGAAGGCCAAACGGCATCCTAACAAACTCGAATAATCCAAAAGGGGTGGTTATAGCTGTCTTGTGGATATCGCTAGGCTCGACTGGGATCTGATGATATGCCCTGATGAGATCAATCTTGGAAAAGATTGTCTTGCCACTAAGTGACGCAGAGAAATCTTGCAAATGAGGAATAGGGTATCTATCAGGAATAGTACGAGCATTAAGCATGCGATAATCTCCACAAGGTCGCCAGTCCCCTGGTGTCTTCTTCGGAACCATGTGCAAGGGACTTGACCAGTTGCTATCAGATTGTCTGATAATGCCGAGTTCAAGCATGTGTTCAAACTCTGCCTTGGCAATCTGCTGCCGATCTGGAGCAAGCCGACGAGGGCGAGCTGAAGCAGGTGGGCCTCGAGTTTGGATATGGTGGGTGGTTGTATGCTTGACTTCTGAGTGCTTGTACACTGGCCGGGTGATGTCAGGATACTCACGAAGAAGGGAGTGGAAACGCTCCGAAGTATCTTGCTTGACATACACCGGGCTAATGATGCCTGTGTATGTACCGACTCCCTGTACTGTAAGAGTGGTGGTGGTGTCTATCAGCCGTCGATGTTTGATGTCGACTAATAGTCCATAGTTATCAAGGAAATCGGCTCCCAAGATAGGTGTAGGTATGTCCGTGACAACAAAAATCCAACGAAAAACTCGCCGCAACCCAAGATCAAGAGTGAAAGATCTCTGGCCAAAAGTCTTAATGGGTGACTTGTTAACAGCTTGAAGTTGGATATTTGTTGCACTTACCATTGCCGATTTTCCTAACATGGAATGAGGGAAAATACTAACTTCGGCCCCAGTATCAACAAGAAAACGCGTGCCTGATTGTTTATCATGAACAAAGAAAAGGCGACTGGGTTGAATGTTGCCAAGTGAATTAGTCGCCGCTATTCCTTGGCGGGCCCGTTTCCCTGGACATATCCAGGGCGGCTTTGTCCTGCTGAGTATGAACAAGGACTTATGCACTTCTGGGCTCGTTTGCCATGCTTCCAGTGGTACCAACATTCAGCCCCAGCATGTTGTTGATGCCGACTCGGGCTACGGGAAGCTGATTGGCGAGGGCCGGAATTCTTCGGGCCTCGCTGTCGACTGCGACTTCTGCGGTCCTCCTGTATAGAACAAGTCAAGGCTTGCACCTGAGCAGCCAGTTGAGCAACCTGGGTAGAAAGTCGATGTACTTCACCAGAGTCATTGGGAGTAGCGCAAGCGTAAGTCTGCGCTGGCACTTCTTTAGGTAAGACATGAGAAATAGTAGGCGGACCAGCAACTTCAACAATTTTGTCGGCTAATGCCGCTAGCGCAACCAAGCTGACATCATCGCTTGTGGAAGCGAGAATCAACTGTACATTGGTTGGCAGGCGTTGCAAAAATAATTGCTTAAGTATACTAGTTTCCAAAGTATTAGAGCCTAATAATTGTTGCATTCTCCTAAGGAGTTGGGAGGGCGACCTATCGCCTAACTCTTCACTCGTCAGCAATTTGTTCAGACGCTTTTGCTCAGAGACAGAAGTTCGCTTAACCAGTGCTGCTTTTAGTATCTTGTACGGCTCTGTTTGGGGAGGGGCAATTAAAATATCGCGCACCTCTAGAGCTACCTCTGGTTGTAATGAGGCGACAACATAAGCAAACTTTGTAGACTCAACTGAGACACCTCTAGTTTGAAACTGAGCCTCAACCTGAGCAAACCACATATCAGGATCATGTGCCCAAAATGGTGGAAGCTTTAAACTAACATATGAGACTTGAGGGGATGGCTCAGAAGCCTCACTAGGTAATACATTGCTATCAGTATCGGGCATGATAATGACGATGACAAGGTAGATTAGATCAACAGAAGAAAAAAAATCTGGATCACGTCGGGGTCACCAGTTTAGGGAATTTAATCACCTAAATAAAAGAAATAGAAATAGATTTCTTTCCTACCTTGTCTCGTAGAAACACCTGTTGAGTACAGATACTTGGAACATATATTATATCACAAGTAGTAGTTCAAATATTGCACAGCACCCGTAGAAAGAATATGTAAGACCATGTACAAAGTAATGACGCTTCTTCGCGAATTAAGTAAAGAAGAAGAAACTTATAATCTCTATAAAGTAATAAGGCCTCAGAACCGAGTAGAGAAACAAGCGAAGAAATAGGACAAGAATTAAGATGAAGCTGAATTAGCTTTGCTGTAGATAGACTCTCTAGAATACGTGTGCTCTATATGAACAGCTCAGGAGAAGTGATGAAAATAGGTGTGGCAAATAAAGCAAGCAAGTGTAATGTCCCTGTACAGTATAAGCTATACCAGTACATTAGGTGGTTGCACATCCCAACCCATAGGGTATGGAATGTGCTTGCCAGAGTAAGTATTTGTGGCACTCTAGTAATGCAACAGGTGTCACTAAAGAAATGAGTGACAATGGAAATAAAAGGCTAGACTTCAAGCCACACAATAAAGACAAGACGATAATATTTACAAATGCAAAGTTCTCCAAAGGTCAAGTCACTACAAAGTCAATTCTTAAAGCCCTATTTATCTAAATTCAGTTCTCCCCCTCCCGCGTGAAGCGTGGAAGTTTTGGCGTTTCATCAAATTATTATGAAAAGGAGACGATTTGCTGTACCGTTCTCGACTGTTAATCCTTGTCTGAATTCAGTTTCTCCCCCTCCCGCGCAAAGCGCGGAAGCTTTGACGTTTCATAAAGTTATGAGAAAAAGCAGACGTTCGGGTGTACTATTCTCGACTCTTCATCCTTATCTGGATTCAGTTCTTCCCATCTCGGGAGAAGCGCGAACGTTTTGGCGTTTTATTTAATTATTAGAGAAAGAAGACGAATTGCTGTACCGTGCTCGACTCTCTTAGTCCTTGTCTTAATTCAGTTTCTTCCCCTCCCGCGCAAAGCGCAAAAGTTTTGGCGTTTCATTAAATTATTATGAAAAGAAGACGTTTAGGTGTACTGTTCTTGACTCTTAATCCTTATCTGGATTCAGTTCTCCCCCTCACGCGTGACGCGCGAAAGTTATGGCGTTTCATTAAATTATGAGAAAAAAGCAGACGTTTGGGTGTACTGTTCTCGACTGTTAATCCTTATCTGGATTCAGTTCTCCCCCTCCCGCGTGAAGCGCGGAAGTTTTGGCGTTTCATTAAATTATGAGAAAAAGCAGACGTTTGGGTGTACTTTTCTCGACTGTTAATCCTTGTCTGAATTCAGTTTCTCCCCCTCCCGCGTGAAGCGCGGAAGTTTTGACGTTTCATTAAATTATGAGAAAAAGCAGACGTTTGGTTGTACTGTTCTCGACTCTTAATCCTTATCTGGATTCAATTCTCCCCCTCCCGCGCGGAGCGTGAAAGTTTTGGCGTTTTATTAAATTATTTGAGAAAGTAGACGATTCGTTAAACCGTGCTCGACCGTAAATCCTTGTCTAAATTCAGTTTCTCCCCTCCCGCGCAAAGCTCGGAAGCTTTGACTTTTCATTAAATTATGAGAAAAAAGCAGACGTTTGGGTGTACTGTTCTCGACTCTTAATCCTTATCTGGATTCAGTTCTCCCCCTCCCGCTTGAAGCGCGGAAGTTTTGGCGTTTCATTAAATTATGAGAAAAAGCAGACGTTTGGGTGTACTGTTCTCGACTGTTAATCCTTGTCTGAATTCAGTTTCTCCCCCTCTCGCGCAAAGCGCTGAAGCTTTAACGATTCATTAAATTATGAGAAAAAGTAGACGTTTGGGTGTACTGTTGTCGACTGTTTATCCTTGTCTGAATTCAGTTTCTCCCCCTCCCGCGCAAAGCGCTGAAGCTTTAACGATTCATTAAATTATGAGAAAAAGTTACCGTTTGGGTGTACTGTTCTCGACTGTTTATCCTTGTCTGAATTCAGTTTCTCCCCTACCCGCGCAAAACGCGGAAGTTTTGACGTTTCATAAAGTTATGAGAAGAAGCAGACGTTTGGGTGTACTGTTCTCGACTCTTAATCATTATCTGGATTCAGTTCTCCCCACACGTATCAGCACGGCTCGCGGTATGCACGCGCGTCTCGACATTACCAGGGCGCTGACATTTTGCCTGACTGCGCGTACCTTGACCGCTAGCTGGCGGTGTGCTTTTTCGGGCGATTTAAATTTTTACGATACATCGCTAAGGTAAACAAAGACGATGCCTCTCCTTTCGCGGGCCTATGAAGTCATAACAAGGTCACCTTCATGATACATTGTCAAAATATGAAAAATCAATAATGCCCCGCCCATCTGAGATATACGTCGACCGGCTTTGCGTTTGTAGAGCCGGCCTCTTCCTCCCCCTTACGTACGTGTGTGACTGAGTCAGTATTTACAGTTATTTTGATACAATATTTACACATCATTTTCAGACCAAATTCACACCCATTTTAGAACAAAATACAATTTTTTTTTTGGTGCTCTGTGTAGTTTTTGTGTTTTTTAGGTCATTATCTATAACTTTCTCATTTAGTTTTACAAGTCTCGTTGGGCAGATTTTTTTTTAAATTCAATTTGAATATTAGCATGTCTGGCACTCCCACTGGCAGTGCTAGGGCGAACTGTGCACAAACCAATGGCAGTACGTGTGCAGGGCCAGGGGGGCTGGATTTGCACTCGCAATGCCTCCAGATGTTCTGTAGAATTTGTGGAGGGAAGTTTAAGAGTAATTCTGGAGGAAGTAGGACATTTAGGGAGAAAATTCATCCTTGTCAAGGATACAAAGATCAGTTAAAAGAAATTCTTGGAGTCGATGTAGAATGCGATCACAATGATATTAATCCGCCCTCAATGTGCCAATCATGCTACTGTCAGATCATGATCCATAAGAAAAAACCCAATATCGAAAACGTCAAACAGTGGGCTGCCCACCCTAGGATTGGAATATGTGATATTTGTCACACCCAGAAGTCTGGAAAACCTGGCCGTAAAAAGAAGAAACCAAATATGGGTGCAAAAAACCTCCCAAAATCCTTCACTGAAACTACTTCTAGCATCAAACCCCTCATCGACAATACCAAGTACACAGTAATCTGCAAGAGTTGTTCAAACCCAATAGACATCACAAACATATCACAGCATACATGCACTCATACAGATACAGTTGATCACGATCATACATATGTAATATCACATAACCTGACGAGTCTGACGAACTCAGAGAGGGAAAGAATTGCAAAAGAGGTGGTCCAGGAGAAAATTAAGGAGTCTCCTGATGGAGCGACCATCATCCTGACAGGAGGGAAAAGAACACAGGTGCGCAATGATTTTTTTTATTTTTTTTTTTTGTAGCTTAGACAATTATGATGTGTTTATATGAAGAGGCTAAGCTCATGACAAAATCAAATAATTTATTAGTACTGTAGTCAAGCTTGATTTGCATATGCCACAAATTCCCCAAGCAATATGATATAGATACAAAGCATAAATATTTTCAATATATCTCTCAATCGTTTTCTAGGAAAACAAATGCTAAGTAGAATAACATAACGTTGATGAGCTCCACCATGTGGTATAAAGACTGTTGAGTGAGAGGAGATATAGGATATATTTAGAACAGGAATAGTGGAGAGGAGAGATAGAACGATAGGACTAGTGCATAACTTTGATTTGATTCTCCATAAATGAAATAGAGTTTGTTTATCCGAAAATGAAATAAGGTTTATTAATCAATTTGTTCATCATAACCTTTGGAATAACGAGCAGCCTCTTTTAAAAAAAATATTAACCAGGAATATTGTCTTATAGATATGTTAAACTAGTGCTTATTTTCGTTATTAATAGGCCGTGTTGTTGAGGTACTGATATCACTATTGTTGTAACCAATATTAATATTTATATAATGAACATATAGTAATAATAATTAACGTTAATATAGCACATCATACATAAAGTTTGTTAGCACTTTATATAAAACATTTAAAAAATGAACATAGATTAACTGAACAACTTAAAGAATAACGATTTTACTTCACCATTCATTTTTTTTTTAAAGGAACTCTGCTTTACATTGGTACAATACAATAAAAATCGTTTCCATCTTTTATAACTGAAGGACATCTGTACTCGGAAAATAGATCTTCCGCGCAAGCCGTCATCAATGGTGAAAGCAAGGACAAAGAGATCAAGAGATGAGTGCATGAGGGATGTCCACCTGTTAACACATATGGAAGACCAGGAGGAGCAGGAGGAACAAGAGGAATGCAGCAGCTTGTACCTAGACAATCAGGACATAAGTGACCTCAAGTCCATGATGGGAATTTCTTGGCGAAAGCTCGGAAAGCTGAAAAAGTAAGGAAAAACCTAAAGTAAAAGAGTAAGGTCCTTTAACGTGAAATAATAAACGAAATCAATCTGACAACATATCTATTATACACATATATATATATATATTTGTTTGCAGTTGGCTTCTGCAAAGGAAAGTGAAGTCTGCAGGAGAGAAAGCGGTGAGGACCCTCCACAAGACCATTTTAGATGGTAAACTCCAAGCGATCCTCCTGCCTTTGCAGCACTGGGAGGATACAATCTGCCAGATCAGACCATCTCCTTTCATAAGTGTGCAAAATCTACCTGATATGGTGATGACGCTACTTGATGAATATGATGAGTAAGTTTAAATCATTTAAACCTAGAGCAAAAGCCTGTTTAATGATAACAGATATAAAATTATATAATACTACTAGATGAGGGCTACCCTCAGCATACAGGTGTACACTCCATCCAGTGCCTTTAAAAATTATATATTATACAAAAATATACTTCAGTGTATGCATGTATGAATGACTCTATCATTTCCTACACAGACTTGGTGAGCTCACCTTTCATGACGGAATGCTGGAAGAAATTTGGGTGAAGATCGGCGGTGATAAGGGTGGAGATACCTTCAAGCTTATGCTCCAGATCGCGAATCTGTCGCATCCTAATAGCCTCAGAGCCACTAACATCATTGGCTTGTTTCCTGGCAAGGACACACCATTCAACTTGGATGTAACACTGTCAACCCTTGTTGAGCAGATAGATGTCCTGCAGAAAGCAAAATGGAGGTAAATATGTTTGAATTTGTGTTAATTCATAATTTAGATATTTTAGAGACACTGTATCCATCAATGACGTAACATTGACAAAATTCACAAGTTTACATGCATGTCATCAAAAAGTCAACACTGTGCTGAAATATACCTTTCATGTTTTTATTGTCTTCTCAGAGGAAAGGCCATACGCTGTTTCTTCTTTGGGGATTATGAGTATCTCTGCAGGACGTACGGTCTCTCTGGTCCAAGTGGTGTGTATTTTTTCTCTCTGTTCAGTTGAATATAATAATCAAGTAAGAATTATGTGCATGATGTGAAATGTAATGTTTCTATTGTGTGTCTATGAACAGGGAGACACTGCTGCCTCTACTGTGTTGCCACCAAGACAGAGATGGCAACTCCATTAGCAAGCAGAGGCCGACTGCCAGAGAGAACATTAGACACCCTGAAGGAGTCACTGGCCAAGTACAAACACTCCAACGTCGCCAAAGAATCAAACAATGCGATCAGGCCACCCCAATTCAACATTCCCATCAATCAGGTTAGTATTATCTATTTCGTTTTTACCTGTAACAAAATTAGATTCAATGACTTCTGTTGCAACCTGTCCTGTAAGTATGTACGTTCCCAATGTTAGTTTACCATACATAAAACATTTTACTATTTGACTTTTAGGTGTGCCCACCCGGCCTCCACTTCTCACTGGGGATCTACAATAAACACTACAAGAGTATGGAAATGGCTTGTCACGAGCTCGATTTGAAGGCGGCCTCTCTTCCACATACACTCACAACACGCCTCGAAGTTGCAGCATGCAAACAGAAACACCTGCAATGTATAGCTCAGAAGGAAGAGGAGCGACAGGACATATTGGATCAGCATATGTACCTGTCCATGGCATATCCGGACTCACAACCAGCAGCGCTGTTGTTGGAAACAGCAGAGGACATCCAGAAGGAGATAACAAACCTGGTAATTATTTTTTAAAGTTCCATTGTTCAAGAGCCTATTTCATTGAGTATCAGATAGCTTTGTATGCTTGTAAATATTATGATTGTAAGTGTTTTTATCCGACTGCATTAATTCTCTTACAGAAAGCAGAGGTGAAGAAGCTCCCTGACCTGAAGGTTGGTGAAGGACCCATAGCCCAGTCACTGGATGAAGTTCTTAAAAGTATTAGTGTCCAGAGACAAGCTTTCCATGGGAAGAGCTTCGTGGGGAACCACGTACACAAGTGTCTAAAGGTAAATTATAAAAGAAATATAGAAATTCAATAGGTGTACACTGTAAAGCTTGAATCAATGTTTATATAATGAGAATCAAATTGTGCTTTTAAAAATTCTGATCTTTTATGGTTGCGTTTATTTTATCAATGTACATAATTTAGAATTTGCTACAAAATGTTACAACTGGTGCAAGATTAAAACATTGTATAAAAGTTGAAAATCCATTTTCATATACCAATATGTTAATAAAGATATACAGCTAAAATTTCTAAAGCCATGCTCGTCATCAGCAGCCAGGACATGGCATTACATACCTGTTGCCTTTAATCTGTTTCTGAATCAAAGTAGTACAGTCCACTCCCGTTATAACGAGCACGGATGCAACAAGATTTTGTTAAAACAAGGTCATTGGCTTGGTCCTGAGCATCTCGTTATAACGGGAGTGGACTGAATAACTACTTGATCCTGGCCGTACAGATTCAACAACCAAATCTTGCATTTGTGTATCTGGCCCTTCTGTCTGATCTTCTGTATAGAAGCAGTTGAAAATATTTGTCTGCATCTGTAGCAATAAGATTTTAAAAAGGAGGGGGGGGGGTACAATACAGGCATAAGTTTGGTGTCACTTGTCTAAGAAGCATACTTACCCTCTCTATTTTCAGGAGGAAAACATCAGGAAAATAACAAACACCATAGTTCAAACAGCAGATGAGGTGTGTCCGGCCCTGCATAATGAAGCGCTAAGTATAGCGCATCGTTATAGTGAGTGTTTCAAGCTCTATGGATCTTGCGATCATCTCTTCAACAGAGGAGACTTCCTGACACCCGAACACATTCATATGCTGGGTAAGAAAAGGCTTAGTTATTACGATAGCATTAATTTTTTTTGTCAGATTACACCCCAATCTGTTAACTGACATTAAAGTTTAAAGTAATCTAAAATTGCTTTATTTATGGTTTGACATTAAAATGTTATTTCTTTTTATCACTGTCTTCATACAGATGATGCCATCAGAGAGTATATGACCTTCGTCCGAACTACCTTCCCATCCGAGTCCATCACACCGAAGATGCACCTGTTGGAGGACCATACTGTGCCATGGTTCGAGCTATGGGGAGCTGGACTCGCGCTCATGGGGGAGCAGGGAGGAGAAGGTATGCACGCGCATCTAAACCGAATCCGTGAACATCTACGGTGCTACTCCCTGACGGATGATCTCCAACTACATCTACGCTCCGTGGAGGAGCAATGGGTCCATGCGAATCCCAAGTCATACCATAGAAATAAGAACAATTAAACCTATCGCAAATTACAATGAATAGAAGACAGGTATGAATCTCATCTTCACTGGTCTTAAAACCTCTAATATCAGGGTTCTCAATAATCAAATTGTCAGTATGTACTTCCAATTGTTACCACGTTGTAATTGTACATGTGTCAATATTATTAAAAGTACTGTTTACACAATGAGGAAATTTACCTTAATAGGTTAGCTTTCACTAACTGGAGCTAGCTGCTTGCATCTTCACACCAATGGCGGAGGAGTTGTTGTACTTCTCATGCTGTTGAACTTGAAGTAAGTCGAACTGTGTAAAGAGTATGTAATCATATGTAAATAATCTGAAAAGCTTTGATGCTTGAGAATAAAGCAGAATTGTACAGTACTCAATCTTGTTGTTCTCGTTATTTTTTACTCCACATATATAGCGAATAGTAAAAACTTTTATTTACAGGTAATCAAACAAGGGATCCCATTAATATTTATTGAATGATTTTGATGATTGCTTTGTGGTCTCGAGACACCACCTGCCAGAACAATTCATCGCTGGTTTCTTGAACCGACGCACTTTCATATGGGCTTAACAATTGCTCATTTACACCGGTTCACAAAACCAGCAACAAATTCTTAACATAGACATGCATATTGCAAGGTTTGTGAGAATGCGATGTGTTGATGTTTGGGACAGTATTATCGTGCATGAATGTTAACAATTGAAAAAAAGTCTATCTGGGTCACATATGGGGCCCTTTAATATAACAGCACATAGTTTTGTGCAATTCAATTCAATAAAGACTTTGTACTTTTTGCAATTATACAAGTAGGTCTAGATTACATTAACCCTTGCTCGATATACTCTAGACCTCTACATTATGATACAACATATATTATAGATCTACATAGGGCCTACATCATACATGTAATCTACTTTTACTTTTTAGATTATAATAATTATCATTTAGGGTCTAAATTAAATGATTCTAAGACAAAGGTATGCATAAGTACATAACTCATAACTCTTTCATGGTTTTATTGTTGGGGGGGGGGGGGGGTGGGGGGGGGGGATAATAATGAAATATTTTCTAAATTGGGATTATTGGGCAGACCCCCCCCCCCCCCCCAACATCCACTCTCCAGCCACGGCCAAGGTCAAGTTTGGTTTAATCACAATAAACAAAATCAATTAGATTCTACACGCTCTTGATCTATGCCAAATTCTGTTGCACACATGAAAAATAAATTTTTAAACTGTAACAAAAGTTACACCTGGCTCAGCTTCAGTTAATAACATAACACACATCACTCATCAGGCGATAAAAAATTTCCCCTGACCATGCTCAAGATCTATTTGATTTTCTTTTAATCTAATAGAAAAAAAATCTTGTGACATGTGCATATCTAAAAACAACATTCTAAAGAAACATAATCTAAAAATGTCATGATAAAATTCAATTCGAGCGATTTTTAATATTTTTTTAAACTTGTGTTTATGCTTCCAAATGTGCGCAAGACACATTTATCTGCATGTGGGATTGTTCACACAACGGTAGGGTGGCGTTACACTACCCTGACCGAAGCGGGCTACACGTGTTCGCGTACACGCTAAATATATAAATCAGCTGCTTTGTTGCATCTTCAAACTCAGTTTAGTATTTGTTTCACGTTATAAATCTGCAAAACTAGGTAATCAAATCATCAGAAATATCATAATAAATTGTATGATAACTATCAATTCTCGTATCTTGCTCCATATTCAATAATGTACTACGATTTCGGGTGAAAGGTGTGAAATTAGGAGAAATTGGAAAAAATTACCTTATCTTTGAGGACTCGTAGCTTAAAATCTGCCCAACGAGACTTGTAAAACCAAATGATCAATTTGAGGAGAAAATGATGAGCAATCAAAATATATACATGAGATCATTAAAAAAAATTGTATTTTATCGCCATGACAACTTAAAAAAAACCTTGAATTTTAAGTGTCGTAAAGTGACAAATAAGGTCATTTTCAGATCGCATTTGGAATATTTTGGCAAAAACAAATATGGACAAATAATATAGTTTTGGAACGAGCTTGATTAACTGAACCTAGAGGTACAATCAAAAATCCTGGTTATCGATTCGACAGTTGTTCAGGGGGGAATGAATATGCATGAGATGAGAAGAGAAAAAGAACGTATTCACGCACAGAAATGTGAAATTTAGTGCGCAAAATGGCCGCGCCCATCTAATACCGACCGTGCCGATACGTGCCCAGAAGAAAGAAGACAAATTGCTGTACCGTGCTCGACTCTCCTTGTCTTAATTCAGTTTCTCCCCTTTGACGTTTCATTAAATTATGAGAAAAAGCAGACGTTTGGGTGTACTGTTCTTGACTCTTAATCCTTATCTGGATTCAGTTTTCCCCCTCCCGCGCAAAGCGCGGAAGCTTTGACATTTCATTAAATTATGAGAAAAAGCAGACGTTTGGGTGTACTGTTCTTGACTCTTAATCCTTATCTGGATTCAGTTCTCCCCATCTCGGGAGAAGCGCGAAAGTTTTGGCGTTTTATTTAATTATTAGAGAAAGAAGACAAATTGCTGTACCGTGCTCGACTCTCTTAGTCCTTGTCTTAATTCATTTTCTTCCCCTCCCGCGCAAAGCGCGAAAGTTTTGGCGTTTCATTAAATTATTATAAAAAGAAGACCATTCGTTAAACCGTTTTCGATTCTTAAAGCCCTATTTATCTAAATTCAGTTCTCCCCCTCCCGCGTGAAGCCTGGAAGTTTTGGCGTTTCATCATATTATTATGAAAAGGAGACGATTTGCTGTACCGTTATCGACTGTTAATCCTTGTCTGAATTCAGTTTCTCCCCCTCCCGCGCAAAGCGCGGAAGCTTTGACGTTTCATTAAATTATGAGAAAAAGCAGACGTTTGGGTGTACTGTTCTTGACTCTTAATCCTTATCTGGATTCAGTTCTTTCCATCTCGGGAGAAGCGCGAACGTTTTGGCGTTTTATTTAATTATTAGAGAAAGAAGACGAATTGCTGTACCGTGCTCGACTCTCTTAGTCCTTGTCTTAATTCAGTTTCTTCCCCTCCCGCGCAAAGCGCAAAAGTTTTGGCGTTTCATTAAATTATTATGAAAAGAAGACGTTTAGGTGTACTGTTCTTGACTCTTAATCCTTATCTGGATTCAGTTCTCCCCCTCACGCGTGACGCGCGAAAGTTATGGCGTTTCATTAAATTATGAGAAAAAGCAGACGTTTGGGTGTACTGTTCTCGACTCTTAATCCTTATCTGGATTCAGTTCTCCCCCTCCCGCGTGAAGCGCGGAAGTTTTGGCGTTTCATTAAATTATGAGAAAAAGCAGACGTTTGGGTGTACTTTTCTCGACTGTTAATCCTTGTCTGAATTCAGTTTCTCCCCCTCCCGCGTGAAGCGCGGAAGTTTTGACGTTTCATTAAATTATGAGAAAAAGCAGACGTTTGGTTGTACTGTTCTCGACTCTTAATCCTTATCTGGATTCAGTTCTCCCCCTCCCGCTTGAAGCGCGGAAGTTTTGGCGTTTCATTAAATTATGAGAAAAAGCAGACGTTTGGGTGTACTGTTCTCGACTGTTAATCCTTGTCTGAATTCAGTTTCTCCCCCTCTCGCGCAAAGCGCTGAAGCTTTAACGATTCATTAAATTATGAGAAAAAGTAGACGTTTGGGTGTACTGTTGTCGACTGTTTATCCTTGTCTGAATTCAGTTTCTCCCCCTCCCGCGCAAAGCGCTGAAGCTTTAACGATTCATTAAATTATGAGAAAAAGTTACCGTTTGGGTGTACTGTTCTCGACTGTTTATCCTTGTCTGAATTCAGTTTCTCCCCTACCCGCGCAAAACGCGGAAGTTTTGACGTTTCATAAAGTTATGAGAAGAAGCAGACGTTTGGGTGTACTGTTCTTGACTCTTAATCATTATCTGGATTCAGTTCTCCCCAGAAGAAAGAAGACAAATTGCTGTACCGTGCTCGACTCTCCTTGTCTTAATTCAGTTTCTCCCCTTTGACGTTTCATTAAATTATGAGAAAAAGCAGACGTTTGGGTGTACTGTTCTTGACTCTTAATCCTTATCTGGATTCAGTTTTCCCCCTCCCGCGCAAAGCGCGGAAGCTTTGACATTTCATAAAGTTATGAGAAAAAGCAGACGTTTGGGTGTACTGTTCTTGACTCTTAATCCTTATCTGGATTCAGTTCTCCCCATCTCGGGAGAAGCGCGAAAGTTTTGGCGTTTTATTTAATTATTAGAGAAAGAAGACGAATTGCTGTACCGTGCTCGACTCTCTTAGTCCTTGTCTTAATTCATTTTCTTCCCCTCCCGCGCAAAGCGCGAAAGTTTTGGCGTTTCATTAAATTATTATAAAAAGAAGACCATTCGTTAAACCGTTTTCGATTCTTAAAGCCCTATTTATCTAAATTCAGTTCTCCCCCTCCCGCGTGAAGCCTGGAAGTTTTGGCGTTTCATCATATTATTATGAAAAGGAGACGATTTGCTGTACCGTTATCGACTGTTAATCCTTGTCTGAATTCAGTTTCTCCCCCTCCCGCGCAAAGCGCGGAAGCTTTGACGTTTCATTAAATTATGAGAAAAAGCAGACGTTTGGGTGTACTGTTCTTGACTCTTAATCCTTATCTGGATTCAGTTCTTTCCATCTCGCGCGAAGCGCGAAAGTTTTGGCGTTTTATTTAATTATTAGAGAAAGAAGACGAATTGCTGTACCGTGCTCAACTCTCTTAGTCCTTGTCTTAATTCAGTTTCTCCCCCTCCCGCGCAAAGCGCGGAAGCTTTGACGTTTCATTAAATTATGAGAAAAAGCAGACGTTTGGGTGTACTGTTCTCGACTCTTAATCCTTATCTGGATTCAGTTCTCCCCATCTCGGGAGAAGCGCGAAAGTTTTGGCGTTTTATTTAATTATTAGAGAAAGAAGACGAATTGCTGTACCGTGCTCGACTCTCTTAGTCCTTGTCTTAATTCACGTTCTCCCCCTCCTGCGCAAAGCGCGGAAGCTTTGACGCTTCATTAAATTATGAGAAAAAGCAGACAATTGGGTGTACTGTTCTCGACTTTTAATCCTTGTCTGAATTCAGTTTCTCCCCCTCCCGCGCAAAGCGCTGAAGCTTTGACGTTCCATTAAATTATGAGAAAAAGCAGACGTTTGGGTGTACTGTTCTCGACTGTTAATCCTTATCTGGATTTAGATCTCCCCCTCCCGCGTGAAGCGCTGATTTTTTGTCGTTTCATTAAATTATGAGAAAAAGAAGACGATTTGCCGTACCGTTGTCGACTGTTAATCCTTGTCTGAATTCAGTTTCTCCCCCTCCCGCGCAAAGCGTAGAAGCTTTGACGTTTCATGAAGTTAT